ATGGAAAGTTGTACGAAATTTATTTGAATTTTTCTTTGGTACTAAGCCAATTGGAGAAACTTGAAAATTTTTAAATGGGGGACTATCAAACAGACCAGCTATGCGACCAAGCGAAACTTCAGTTGCCAAATTTGAAGAAACAATATCTGGGTTAGCGAAAGCCGTTGGCAAATTCCTTGAAAACCTTGGGGCCCGTGGCCCCTGAAAACCTATGTGCACACCAAATTTAAAGTTGTTACAAAGCTGTGAAACAAAATTTTGGTCTGGGTGACTTGAAAGTGCTGTTTTTAAATGTTGGATGGAAATAGGTGTAGGGAGTGGTTGGTCTTTAACTTCGTTTGGATTTTGAGGAGTTGTGCTCACGTTTTCAATCTCGCTCATCGTATTTGACTGACTTGGAATTGAGCGAGGGACATGGAGATCCAGAATGTTTGCCATTACATGTGTTGCAGAGGTGTTGGTATTGGCGTGGCTGACGGAAACACCCAACTCCCCTGTTGAAATTTCGAGGCCTCCTCGAACGCCCCCGGAGGAAGCCCAATTGTGGGGTCCATTTGAAAAATGAGGATACTGTTGGACTAAGATGTCTGGCGAGCTTGTGAATATCATCAGCCACAACTGCTGATCAATCAGGGACCAATTTTGACTGGGGTTGAGAGCAGCCTTGCATCGAAATTTATGGTCGTATACACACCACCCCAGTCCACAGTGAGTTTGGGCTGCATGGCGTGTCAAACTCAAATAATTTAACAATTCTTGGCCCTGACCGGGGAACTTATGGGTCATCACGCTCATGTATACAGTGAATGCGGTTGTCCACTGCTCGATATCGGTTATCCTAGAAATTGGCTGCAACGCCTTTTTGACCTTGATTACTGAGTTTTCGAGAGTTAATATCATAGGCTCGTCGGAGTGGTTATTGGTTGACATGTTTTTTGGTAAAAGTTTAGATGAATAAAAAAACTCACCCGATTGAATTTGTTTGATGTCCTGCGCGGGAACCTCGTGAAAGCCATTTCCATATGCCACGCTGTCCGCTGCCTGATTGGAACCAAACATAAGTGCGTTGGTTGACGTGGTATTTGAGCTGGGGTTAACAGTTATTTCTTCGCTTTCATCCTGGACGACTAAGGTATTCTCGCTAGTGTTAGGCGTCGAGTTTGCCATGGCTTGAATAGCAGCGCAGGCTGCATGCTGCATTGGATGCTATTTCGCTTACCGATTGTTCCACAGTTCGCGTTATGATTGACTGGATTTGCGCTATCTGTGATTCAGTAAGCAACGCTGACGAGACCTCGACTTGAGGCGGTGTTGATGGCGAATTTACATTTTCTGCGGCGTGGTTTTGAAGGCGAGCAACTAAGGCATTCTTTCGTCCATGGGTTAATAATCCCTTCTCGGCGCACTGTCGTCGAAGACTCTCTATGGAATCTATGTTATTTGATGACGAAGAGCATTCCTGATTTTCTGCTCTTCTCGCTCCCCTGTTTCGAACGGGAGGCATTTTGATGAATTATTTATATTTTTATCAAAATGTTGCAACAGCTTGGAACCTTTCTTTGTCAATACTTTGAAACAATTGATCTCTTTCAAGTGTATTTGGTCTATTTTGCTGGCTTAACTGAATTATGATTGGTTGAATTTTTGGATGACATGAAAGATATATTTTGATTGGCTGAAAGATAATTGGTCATGAGATGTGCACGTGAACACTTTGGCAATACCAAGATGACCTCTGATATTCTAGTACACATGATAGCTGTGGGTCTGTGACCTTTGTACCGTGTGCAAAATATTCAAATCTGTTGTCATATAAATTAGACTAAACTTGTTAGATAAAGTGGGGAGCATTGCCCATTAACTTAAATTTATAATATAATATAAATTAGCTATAGACAATACCGTATACTACTGTACATATAATGGGTCGTATAAGTATAAACAACTCCCATCTTCTATTGCGATATTGTTGTAACTGTAAAATGGAAATTTTGCTCCGGAGCACAGGCATGCAAAGAGACGATGGTTCTTTAATGTTTATATTAAATAACGATGGCAGCTAATGTCATTGATCACAGGCTCTGACAACTAGGGGTGGGTGATACTGTGAATATCGATTTCGATACGATACTGGTTACTTTTTCATTGATACCACTGTTTCGATACTATTTCGATACCGATACTGGTATTTCATAGTATGAAAATTGAAAAATGTCAATATTTATTTCAAACAAGAATTTTAACAAGAAGTTTAGTAAACAACTAATATAACAATAAAAATTTTTAACTTTGATGAAGAATTAAATGTTTTGATTTAAGAAAAGCAACATATTTACATTCTTAGGTTTCAAGCTGCTTCTTCTATGGGAAACCAATTCTCCTGCTTTTGAGAACAGACGCTCCGAGGGAACCGAAGTAGCAGTTGCACGCAGATATTTCCGAGCTAGTTTGCTCATCTTGGGATAGTTCTTTCTGTGTTCATGCTACCACTTGAGTGGTTCACTGTCTCTAGGTATCAACTTTTCCCCAAAGTATAGCCCAGTTTCTGACATAGCATCATCACTACCAATCCCTTGTATTCAAATAATTCACTGAATCTGCCACTTTAGAATCAAACTCTTTCCATAATACATCACTGCCACTGGTTGCTGTAATTTCCGACACTGACGCCAACATCAGAGTGATCAGATGTCGACGCCATTTGCATTTTGCAGACAAAAAGCGCCAGAAATATGGCGGGAAACAATCAAACAACAACCAGCATTCCCTATTGTCCTCATGCATCCTAACACTACCCTCTGTGTACTGTATGTCTCACTCTGCAAAGAAGAACTTCGTGTAACATTGTTTATCAAATTTCTACGTCACGTGACGAGTATCGATAACATCGATATTTTTAAAAAGTATCGATACTGTCTTTTGAATTGTAAATATCGAAAGTATCGATACTTTAGCACCGGTATCGCCCACCCCTACTGACAACGGGCAAATCGAAAAATGTCATAATTAACAAATATAAAACATTTTCCGTGTTGATATACAGTTATATCAACACGAGTGGAAATTGGGAAAACGAGAAATTGTGTGGAAACACGACGCCCGCAGGGCGGAGTGTTTTCACACAATTTCGAGTTTTCACAATTTCCACGAGTGTTGATATTACTGTATATCAATACGGAAAAAATGTTTTATATTTGTTTTATAATATAGCACAAAGAAATATAAAGTACAACATTGAAATAGCTTTTTATTTATGCTACAATTTATGAAATAAACAAGCAAGAAAACATAGCAATCAGCGAGGCGAAGCGATCTCTAGTCTTTGTCAACTTCTCGAGGTGGATTTACAGTGAGATTCACAGTGCCGATCGAACAAGACGAAAAGATGTTGTCAAAGCTGGATCTGTGGTACATTGAGGTATTTTGAGACGTTGATGTTACATGGGAAAACACTTGAGCTGGCTGTGGGTCATTAAAATCAATTTGTAAGCTGGCATTTGAGGATACGAGCGATCTGGTGAGAATGTCACTGCTTTGTCGAAGCTGTGTTGAGGATGGACGCGAGTTATAACTCTTCAGCGACTGTTCATTTCGGTGACCTGAAACGGCCATAATGTGGCGGTTTTCAAGACCTGCATCGGACCAAAGAGTAATCGCGGTGACTCTCACACAATGGTTTGTGTAGATGCTCGACAGTTCGGCTTCCTCGCTAATTTCTCTCATCATAACACCCAGCTTATTTACACCGAGTGGCCGATTTTCGTACCGAACACTGTCGCTTGGGGACCACTTTCGCTTCGGAAACTGGAAGAATGCTGAACAGTGTGGATTTAACTTGGATATATAAAGCTCCAAGGCATTGTAGCCGTCGCTGGGGTCGTCTGTAGCACGGTACATCCTGCCGTCTTTTTCAAAACTTTCCGTGTCGTCAAATCCACCGGGATGATTTTTTGACAACTCGTCGTGGGTCATAGTCGCATACTGACGGGAATTTTCGTCAACCGCAAAGGTAAAGCTGGACGGTGTTAGGTTTCGTTGGCCTTCTCTACCTCGTCGACACCAATATAAGGTTGTGTGGAACCAAACATTTCTCAAGAGACCGAGGGGAGTCGAGGCGGAGATTACTGGATGAACTCTCAGCTTTTGAAGGTCTGGCGTCGTTATGGCAGGTTTGTGCTTTGTATTTTGTTTCCCGAGTTGCTTTAAATTTTTGATTTTCGCATCGAGTATCATGTTGGACTTCATGAAGGCAGGATTTTTAGAAAATTTGAGTCCTCTGTTGTGAGGGGGGTAGTTTAAATGCCGCTCAATGCCGCTTCTCAAGCCGAGTAGGGTTGACTTTCCGTAGTTTTCGCCGGTCTTGTTTCTCACTTCTGCATAGAAAACTCTCAGGTTTTGATCAAGCTCTTCCTCGCTTTGTTCATGAAGCTCTTTATTTATGTTTCTATGCAGGGCCCACTCTGAAAGACAACCATAATATATAAAACCCTGATTACTTGGAGAGGTGTAAACTTAAATTTAAAGTTCAAGCGAACTAACCTTTGTAAACAGAGACAGCGAAAGCAGTGCTGTATTTCGTCCTTTTGGAGTGTGCTGCTTCTAATAATTTGTCTAAATCGCTTGCTTCTAAATTTGCAAACCTTCTGGGGTTTTCTGCATCGCCTCCAGTGCCCAAAGGTTGAAAATTGGCCATTTTAAAAACTTTTTACTTAAATTTTGGGAATACGCTTTTCAATTTAAAGAGCGGCGGGAAATTTCCCGTGTTGACATTGAGTTATGTCAACACGGCTCTTAGCCAATCAGCGTCCAGAATTTACAATTGCTATATTATAATATAAATTATTACATAAGACGTACTTAGTTATTGTTATTTTGTCTATTAAGCCCTTCAACCCAAGCACATGCGTAAGCGCTATATACTGTCAATGTGGAAAACAATGTAGTTCAATGTTATATATAGTTCAATGTTATATATAGTTCTATAAATAGCGCTGCAAAGCTTATACATTTCAATCACGCAACACAAATATTTTAGTGATTGCGATTTGTTCTAAATTGAGCGATTGATTTTAAATTAAGGAAATTGAAAGCTCATGTATTATATTTTCTACCGATCGATATAGTCATGTTTATTCAATATGTACTAGTTTAAAACATGAACAGCCGAAGGCGAGAGTTTGTATATCAGATAAAGATCGGATGCGAATCATCTTTTAAATTCATTGGCGAAGAAATTTTAAAAATAAACATTGTCTAAGCTGAGAAAATCAAAGCTATCCTATTTACAAACATTGATAAAACATTAATTTCTTTTGTATTTTCCTCATGAATTATTAATGAGTTTTTAAAGTCTGCATATTATATGCCAAGTCTGCAATTTCAGTTACATTTTCTGTGCAGTCTACACCATAGTTTATACTGACTGTATGCTATTTGTCATTATGTTCTGTTAGTATGTGTGGTAAAATTATATTTCTGGAAATGTAAACACATACTAAAGTAATCAATTAAAAATTCTGTGGTATATACAGACTATAATAATAGACCATGCATGATAAAGGGTTGATGTGGGCCAGGCATTCCTTTATGGGCCCCCTATAGTGTGCACACCTCTTAGTGCTTTCTGGTTAGTTGTCATATCAACTTTGCACTATCCTTGGGATCTCTGAGCAGGGGTGGAAAATATAGCGGACCACAGGGCCATTGGTCCCAGAAAATTTTTTATGTTAGCAGAAAGAAAGAAAGAAGGAAGGAAAGAAGGAAGGAAAGAAGGAAAGAGAGAAAGAAAGAGAGAAAGAAAGAAGGAAGGAAGGAAGGAAGGAAAGAACAAAAGAAAGAAAGAAAGAAAGAAAAACTGCGCCAATAACTAACCATTTTGTTCAAGGACAGACACTAGGTGACTGTGGTGAGTAGGTGTAGGGGCTGCCGCCAAAATAATTTCTGAAAAAACTTTGATAGCGAAAGATAGCCTCATTTGCAGGCAACCTTGTTCTACCTCCTTTGTTGGCTTTGTATCGTACCACTGCTCTGGTTCCAAAATTTCTTATTTGTATCGTTCCCCTCCCTCCTTAATTTTGACTCCCAATTTTTATTTTTATTGGAAGTATCAACAAAAGATTGGCATTTATTTGACCCTCCCCCCCCTGGCACCCAATATTTTACAAAGTGTCTGCCACTGATTATATTACATAAAGGACAACTAAATGCAATGATCATAGTTAAAGAAAATAAACATCATTAGGAAGGCTGGTAAACTTCAAGTAGTTTCCTAACCAAACTTCAATTGATGTTGAAAACTTGAAATGTACCTGATAGTACACAATTTGTTGATTCATATTAAAATTTTACTGTTGAAGTCTGAGGTTTCCACTTTCCATTGGGCAATCGTTTCATTGTACAGAAAAACAGTATGTTCACTACTTCACTGACTTCACTCACTGTGAAGGTGCACAAATTTCCATAAAAGCGAACAAAAACATAGAACTAACAATACCTTTTGTCCAGCTTCCTGCTTCCAAACCATGTTTGTTTTCAGACTAATTAGTAATTATAAATTACGATGCAAATATTAATACAGTTTAAAACCACTTTTCATGTTTTCACAAATTCATAGCTTTTCCTCACTTGTTTACGTCAATTAAATCCTTTCCTCAGTAACTCAGTTGCTTTATGAAAGGGAATCTTCTAGGACTACCACAGCTTTTATATGGTATTTAATAAATAATTCAAGATTTGCAACATTCTGCTTTATAGTGCTTTGCAATCTATTCATTGTATTGCCTAGATAAAGTTCATACACATCATTGTGAAAGAGACTGCTGGCCAAAGTCACATACTGACTGACGGCATCACTCTAGAGAAAACCACAGGGAAAACTCCGAAAAAGTGAATTCTATTAGCAACATATGCAACATTGCAACTGTCAGCATGGAGAATGATTTACCAAATACTAATAAATCTTGGAAATATATTAGCGAAAAGAGGACTGTAACTTGCCAAGTTGAAAATTGAAAACAATCGTTACTGGCCAAAAATTATCGTCAACATTTACGTGATCGGCATCCGGCAGAAAATCTGCATGACTTGTCTCCATTTGGACAAACTAAGCTCAGTTTTTTTGCTGCTCCTAGTGTTTGGCAACTACCTGAGCAAGCACAGATACGACAAAAACGAAGTGGATCCAAACTAACTCCAACCGATGAGGCAGATGAGCCGTCTCAGCCGGGTGCCAAAACACCAAGGATTTCAGATGAAATATCCCATGTGCAAGAAGAGAAGCAGGGTAGATGATGCAAGCAGAGATACCAGCAGTATATTAGTTTTCCAAACAAGCTTGCCTTCCCTTGATGACAAAAAACTTGATGTCATAATAAAGGACATTAACGAAGTCAAGCAAAACTTGGCATTACTTGTTAAAGCAAAAAATGATGATTTATGTGAAGCAAGAAGTGTTGCTGAAAATAGAGAAAAACTAAGTGAGGAGACAAAAACTTTGCTTGCCAAAATTACCCTGGCTAGATCAATAAATGATATTGAATTGACTGGCTTTGCGTATAGTAGTGAAAGAAGTGAACTGTGCTGCTCCGTTTGTACAGAGGCTGAACATGAGAACAATGCCACATTAACTACAGTGCATGGGTCTAGTCTCAGTGGGATGTTTTCATACGAGCAATCTAATGGTCTAGCATTTGCGGAAAATGAAAATCTCCCTGACCAGTTTAGGAATCTGAAAAAGCATGTAAAAAGGCATATTAAAAAATCAAAGAAGCACATTTGTAATTTAAGAAATGAAACTGAAAAGCAAAATGCTGCTGTGAAAATGAGAGGAAACAACCATGAAGCTGGTATGAATCTTGGACGGCTTTGCATGAAGCTTTATCTTAAAGGTCGTCCATATACAGATTTTGAAGATATATTGAATTTAAAGCAAGCTGGTGCCAAAGTAGGCCACATGAACCATTCAAGAAAATTTTCGGCTGTCTTTCGGCCATATGTTTATGGTGTGGTGAAAACCAGATTAAAGGCTTTTCTAACCGATAAACTTCCACAAACAGGCCATAGACCTCCCATAGCAATATCTGCTGACAAAGCAACCTACAAACACCGTTCACGACAATTTATTGGTTGTGTCACAATCAGCCCTGGCACACAAAATCTTCTCAAAGTTATTAGCTTAGGACAACCCATTGTTAAAGAAGGCAGCCCTTACGAAAAAATCCTATAGGAATTCCTATAGGAAATCCTATAGGAATTCCTATAGGAATTCCTATTAGATTTTGGCCCAATTTCCTATAGGAATTCCTATAGGATCCTATACGAATTCCTATAGGATCCTATACGAATTCCTATAGGAATTCCTATAGGATCCTATAGGAATTCCTATAGGATCCTATAGGATCCTATAGGAATTCCTATAGGATCCTATAGGAATTCCTATAAGATCCTATAGGAATTCCTATAGGATCCTATTCCTATACGAATTCCTATAGGAATTCCTATAGGATCCTATAGGAATTCCTATAGGAATTCCTATATGAATTCCTATTAGATTTTGGCCCAATTTCCTATAGGAATTCCTATAGGATCCTATAGGAAATTGGGCCAAAATCTAATAGGAATTCCTATAGGAATAGGAATTCCTTAGATTTACATAGAAATTCATATTGGATCCATAGATATCTTATATATCATATAGAAATTCTTGCATAATCCTCTAAATCAAACTGCCTAAAAGAGTTATTTACCAAGGTGAAGGAATAAGAGAAACTAGTGAAAAAAATTTATTGCAGATAAAAATGTGGCAAATATAACAGGCTATATTTACATAACATACTAATTTAGGCTATTTATCTTTTTAACTTATGACATTTTTCATTGTTCTCAGTTTAAGAAATGTTTCTTATATTTTCTTACTTTTAGAAAATTTTTAGACATAAAATTGTACTATATTATATTACCTATATTATGTATTTCAAAAATAGAAAATTCTGTATGCACTACATAAGTTTTATTTTCTGTCATTCTTATAGATGACTATGTTTAGTTCTGATTGCACAGCAATGTGTTGTGGCGAATAGAGTTTCTCCCAATGCCGTATTATAACACTTTCCACTTCACAATCAATATTATGATCTAACAAACCATTTGTTCAAGTCCATTGATTTCTTCATGTACATTTAATACTGCTCCGAGTACAGCATGCAAATGCCAC